TACAAATATTCAATATTGTTTATTATGATAATTGGTCCATTTAAGCTACAATATTAAACGATTCCCTATATTTTTATTCATACTGCTCTGCACTAATTTTATCTCCAAATTTTCTTTGAAGTCTTACAAAAAAATTCACAAATATTCTGTTTGAGTGCACTTGTTCGATGATCAGAAAATATAATAGTAGCCAAAAACTGAACTAATACTGAACTGAAGTATTACTGATAAGGCCTTCTTAAGTGTGTGTACATAAAACTCTTGTAAACTTTTCTTTTTCTTGGTGTGAACATTTCAGCTTGTGTACCCTGCTTATACAACATTGCTAGAGCATATACACTCTAAAGCTCTAGATGATTTTAAGACTAAGCTGGAACAATCACTAAACAATGGAGAAGGGTTTGCTTCATCTGTTCGCACTTGGACTCAGTCTATTCTGCTTGAATTTGACAAAGGATCTGCTGGTAATAATCTGATTTGATTCTTCTTCATAGCATGCACAACTGTTACTTGTAACTTTATATGCATGTTTCAGAATTACCACAATTGGGGTGCCAATGCTAGCTTGAGTTTCCAGTTACCCTGAATTTATATTATGTGTCATTTCTGCCTTAATTGTTTTACGTTCCCACTTGAGACATGCATGGATGGGGATATTTAAAGTGAAGAAGATTGATGAGAATCACTGCTATGTGTGGATGAGGCATAACCTGTGTAACCTAAGTATCTGTATGTTAGAGATTATCTCTTCGCATTATTTTCCCTATTTTTCTTTATTTTCATAATTCCTAATATCTCATTGCCTTTATCCTCTTTTAGTCAGGGTTATGATTAGTATAAGTAATGGTTCTAGATTTTAAGAATGTAACATTGATTACTTTGCAATATAGCTCAACTAATATTAATTCAGTGTCTTGTAGTCTAAACTCAACATGTATCAAAGTAGTATCACATCCACCAGCAAACTTTCTGATGAATTTCCAGCAGCTTTCTGGCAAACTTTGGCCAACCGTACATTTCCAATGACCTTTACAGATAACTTTTTGAAGGCCTTGTACAACTTTCTGATAATCTTTCTAGCTAAATCTTCCAGTGAGTTGTCACCTCGTGAATTTCCAATAAATGTCAAATATCCAGCCAGTGGCAAAATCTGCACCTATGTCAACTTTTAGCTTCATCACCTCCAACCACATCTTTTAGTAGTCCTTGTTTTAGTCTAACAAAGTCCTATATTGCCTTTTCAACCAAGTTTGGTGAATCCCATAATATTTAAAAAAATGTTTATTTTTTAACTAGCATAAAGTTTGATAAGCTTTAATTTGTGGGAAAGTGAACAATGTGCAGTTTGTGACATGTTAAATGACTTTATGCATCACATGTTAAATGCACTTAGTTTTCACAGGAACCATTCACTCTTTGCATGAGATATATTCTCCGTTTAGTCTATGAAGAGTCTATATATAGAGAGAGACATATAGATATATATTTTGCACAACCTAAGTATACTCAATCAATTTCAGTCTAGCAATTCTATCCTATCTCCCTTTCTCTCTTTTTTCTCCTTTTCTCTTCCTCTAAACTCAGCAGTTTCTATTGACTTACCTTAGATATACTTGAAGTGGAATCACTATATCTTTTTTATCACCATGTAAATGTTTATTTTATAATCACTAAAACTTTTCACTAGTATCTGTTGATTGTTTAATAATATTTGAACCTCCCAGATGCTGCTGTAAGACATGCTAATTGGGGTGCTTCAAAAGTTCGAGACAAGCTTTGTCGTGATATTGATTCACATGCTTCATCTGTGCGCACTGCAAAATTAACGGAGATAACAACTAACTTTGAGGTAAAATATTGTGGTTGCTGTAACAGTGGTTAATTGGTTGAACTGGGTTATGTTTCTTAATGCTTGTTATTTCTATCAGAAACTAAAGTTAAATTATCTTATGCAGAAAAAATTGGCCAAGGGATTGACTAAGCCTGTGGAGTCTCTCTTTGAAGCAGGTGGAAATGACACCTGGCTTTCAATTAGAGAACTACTTAAGCGAGAGACGGAGGTTGCTGTAACCGAATTTTCTGCTAGCATTGCTGGTTTTGAGCTGGATGAAGCAACCGTTGAAAGAATGGAACAAAGTTTAAGAGACTATGCAAGAAAAGTGGTGGAAAATAAAGCAAGAGAAGAAGCTGGAAAGATATTGATGCGCATGAAAGACAGGTAACTGCATTTAAAGATATCTCAATATCACGTCATTTATTTGGTAATTGTAAAATGTGTATCAAAGTTGATGACTATTGAAAATTGATGCTTTGGAGCTTGGGAGTTGTAAGGATTGAAATACGACATGGCACACTGCTTCTTTTGTATTTCATTGGTGTCTTGGTTAGGATAGAATGAATACCAGAGTTTAACACATAAGTTTGTCTGTTACTGTCATGACATCGTTGGTTCAGTATGTTATTATGTTCTGATATGATTATATAGTTAGCAAGCACTATTTTATCAGACATGCTTGAAAACAGACATTTTACATTTATCTGATCAAAAGTAGCAAAAGAAATGAGAAAGTTTTAGGAGAAGTTATTGAAATACATCTTGCTTTCAAGGGCGTTACTGAAATTTTGGTTTTTGATAGAGCCCAATGGAATGGTTTGATTCATGTAATTTATCCCACCGGACATGATAAAAAATTATTATTGTTGTTGTTAGTTGTTTCCTTGGGTTTCTAGTGAGATGGATGAAACGGTAAGACCTGTGGGTGCTCTATGGTCTTCATGTTCTTCAAGGGTTATTATTTTTGATGTTGTGACAAAAAGCTATAACTCAAGCTTAAGGAAAATTTTATTGCGCAGCTGTAAGACCTGCGGTGCTCTATGGTACTGAATGTAGTAGAGGTGAGAGTGTTATGCTGGATAAGTGGACATATTAAGCCCGACAGGATTAATAATGAATATATTATAGAAAAAGTTGGGGTAGCTCCTATGGTGGAAAAAATGGTAGAAACTAACTGTTGGTGATTTAGACATATGTGAAGAAGACTTGAAGAAGCCCCAATGAGGAGAGTAAATCAGATGGAATGTAGCTCAATTGCTTGAGGTATAAAGAGACCTAGACTTTCACAAACTATAGGTCAAACCATTAAGAAAGATCTAATGGTCAATATTTTATTGTATACATGATTTGCAATAGAGCACTATCTAGTGGGAAAAGGCTTGGTTGTTGTCTATTATTTTTGTATTAGTGGATGCATTCTATCTTATTTGTACATTTTTATTCTTTTAAGATGAAAAGCGTGAACTATTCCCTTGATATTCAGTTTTTGGATTAGTTTGTTGGCTTATTTTCTGACTTGCTGTAATAATTTTCAGGTTCTCTACAGTGTTCAATCATGATAATGATTCACTACCTAGAGTTTGGACTGGGAAGGAAGATATTAGAGCTATTACAAAGGATGCTCGCTCTGCGGTAATTGATAGCAAGATTAATGATAAAATTGTAGCTTATATTATGTTGGAAATTGCTCCTTAGCACCATGTAAAATAACTTATGCTGCCATGTGTCAGTCACTAAAGCTTCTATCAGATATGGCTGCTATACGCCTGGATGAAAAGCAAGAACGCATTGGAAACATACTTCAATCATCTCTCATAGATAAAACTAGTGCTGCAGCATCTTCACAATTAATAACCAGGGAAGCTTCTCTGGATCCATTGGCTTCAAGCACATGGGAGGAGGTAGTATATATCTAGTAGTTTCTGAGTTCCTCTGTTAACGTTATATTAAAAATATTATATTTGAGAATCTATATAAAATGTAGGTTTCCCCAGAAGATGTGCTTATCACTCCAGTGCAGTGCAAGGCTTTGTGGAGACAATTTCAGGCAGAAACGGAGTACACAGTTACTCAAGCTATTTCAGCTCAGGTAAAATCATATTTAATATATTCCTGTCTACTGTTTTCATGTTATTAATCGAATATTTCAGCATTATAGGCTAATTGTGAGATAAAAATCCCTTCTGATGTTTTAACCTTTTGGGATAATTGATCATTGACATGATATTAGTATCAGAGCTTGTACTATTAAGTGGTTTGAACTTAGAAGTTTAAAACATACCATTTCTATTTTTCTAAAATAAAGTCAAGCTTCAAGGCAAAGTAGAGTGGAATATGCATTCTCCATTCTAGTCCTGAAGGCTCTTGCATTGCATGAAAGGGTGTCGTAGATGAAAAAAATGTTCATGTGCTTTAACTTAAAACCTTAAGCTTTTTGGGTTGTTGGTTCCTTACAATATTAACAAAATCCTTGGGTAGTTCCAAAAAGTTAGCAGGTTATCAAATATTTACCACCTAATTGACCTTAATGTATATTTTTGCGCGCGCGCATTGATAAATGGGGATGGATGTCAATGAATATGCAATTCACAACCTTGTATAACATGGTTTTTTGAAATATGATCTAAATTGCTGCCATGTTGTAGTTTACTTGTTTTTGCCATGTTGATATATTTGTTCAGGTGTCATGCTTTTATTACTTGAGCCAAATACTATAAAAGATATATATTTTACTGTTCTTAATATAAGACTATCACTTAATTTATCAGGATTAAAAAAGTGTTTAATTTAGTTAGTAACAGTAAACTTTTTCTAATTTTTCTCTTTCAAAACTACCCTTGTCATTTACACTCATATCACTCTCTCACACCCCTAATTGTTTTGCCAGCATAACATCTCTTTTAAGTAAGATTATTTTAGTTCAAATATAATTAATGCAAGAGACATTATGGTCTGAATCTAACAGAAAGGGAAAAAGACCACTTCTAATTTGGGTTTCATAGAGACCAAGAGAGTTTTTTTTTTTTTTTTTTAAATTCAAATAAAACATACTAATTCTCCCTCATTCTACATTTATTATAATTGTATTTCATTTTCAAGCCTATAAACATATTATTAATTGTAAAAACAAAACAAACTAAGCAAATAATAATATATTTTAAAAACCGTAGAATTTAATTTATTAAAATGGCCATATCAAATTAGTAATTACCAACATTTGGCATTTAAAAGGGTGGCATCAGAAGACAAAACTGTTCTCTTGTGACATCAAATTATTAAAATCTAATACAAGTATTGAATTATAGCAATGGTGCACTGTTCATCCCATCAACATTATTTTCTGCCGTCAGCTTTTTGACTGAGCTCCTCTAGTCACATTTACCATTTTTTTCTTCAAAAATTGTTTATTTATGATTTTGATTTTAATATGCTTGAATCTTTTAGAATTGTTTTACTTGATCATGGATTGCATCTGTCATATACTCTCAATAAACAATTGTGCAATGCAGATTATATCTAATTATGTACAAAGCCAAATAGTTGGCTTTAGTTTTTGGAGTTACATCCATCATTGAGTGTTAGAATGATTGTTTGTTTTTTATTCCAATGCTCTACTCACCTGATGCTTTTAGAATCCAAGAGGACTTGGAATATTTCAATGCTTCATGTATTTACAGCAAGTGTAGGACTTAAATTTACATTATTCTTACACTGGCAGACTGGAAACAGTACAACCTTGTCATTATATATGAAAGTTCAGTCGCAAAAATAAGATTAACACTTTTATTGTGGATGCTGCTCCGACAAGGCAATAACTGTGCATACTCCTTGACTGTTGGCTTTCTGTATTGTAATTTGTAGCCTTGCTTACTGGATTGAGTGAAAAGCTATCACGGAAACTTATTTTGAAGGCATTGCAGTTATATACATTTTTTCGTGAAATTTTATATGAATGACTAGCAGTCAGTCATGTTAATCATCATGTCTGTTTGTGTGATGTATGAAAACCAAACTGAGATTCAACAGGCAAGACCTTAGGCTCTAGGTCGTGTTTAATTGGTTAACCATTGCCAGTTAAATCTGAAGATGAACTGTGATTGAACAAAATAATGTTCCAACTAAAAGTACAGTCAGCACATTTGATTAATCGTCTTGCTTTTAGAACGTTAATCTCGAATCTCAATTAATCTGCATCCATTTAGGTTTTGTCATGCTTCAGTTGTCCCGTATCCATGGTTCAACTTGGTGAGAGTTCTTCGCTAGGGTTTGTAAGAATGGTGTTTGATACAAGATTTTCTCTGTTGTATTTGTTTTCTACATTTTTTGGTCCTTTTGATTTACCTAGCGGCAGATTATATGCAAATGTCATTCTTGTCCTTTATCTTTGCCTTAACACTTATCACCAGACATACTAACAAAGGTATTATTTCCTTTTTTTTGGTGTGTATTCAGGAGGCCTTCAAGCGGAGTAACAATTGGTTACCTCCTCCGTGGGCAATAATGGCTATGGTCATACTTGGTTTTAATGAATTTATGTTGCTACTAAAGTAAATATCACTTTTTGAAATTTTTAACTTTGAATTATTGGTTATTTTTATTATTCTGTTTCATTGGACCCTTTTTCCTGCAGTTTAATGATTACATTTGTTGACTTTTATGTGAAACAGAAATCCTCTCTACCTGTTGTTTATATTTGTTGCCTATCTACTTGGTAAGGCCATCTGGGTACAAATGGATATAGCGGGAGAGTTTCGACATGGCACTGTGAGTATGAGTGGACTTTTTACTTCTCCAGCAGTTAGATTTTGTCAAGATTCTGTGATGGTTTTTCTGCCATAGTGAAAGACTCTTCTAATTATGCTAGCACACATATACATACATCATTAATTAGGTCCATTGACTTTTTTAAAAAGAAAAATCACATAATGCAAAAGTTATGATATTCACTAAATATAAATTTAATGTTCATATATTTTTGTCTAGGTTGGCTTTGTTCTCTTGAATGTTATCCTAAAAGATACAATGATAAATAAAAGGTGACTAGCGTTGTCTGAATTTTGCAGCTGCCTGGACTACTATCCATTTCATCAAGGTTTCTTCCCACAGTTATGAACCTTATGAAACGTCTTGCTGAAGAAGCTCAGGGGAATCAAACCCCTGAACAATCTCAAGGATCAGCTTCTCAGACACAGATATTCAGAAATCAAGTGCAAAAACCTGATTCAGTATCAAGCTCAATTTCCAATGTATCTAGTGTTGGCTCATCTGTTGATGATAATGAATACTCAACTACAAACTTGTCTCAGAGGAGAAGAACAAACGTTCCAGAAGCCGAGTTTTCATGACAAAATTCATTACAATTTGATCGGGAGAGGGTTGGCATCAGAATAGAAATGCGCCTGTTAGGTTGACTTCCCACATCAGTTTTGTATTACTACTCCCTATCTCTATATTTTACATCTATATTTTACTCTTTTTTACTGTAACGTGTAAATTATCTGATTATATGAAGGACCCCTATTCGGGTTCTGCAACTACAGGACATCATCTTCAGTCCAATAGTGACGGAATAACTATAAACTAGTTTTCCTTTTAAATTTTACCAACTTTATAATGTTTCTGATAATCTCAATCATGTCTTCATCCACATGAAGTTCGTTATTTATTATTGTTGACTATTAATATTTTTAAAATTAAAAGTGTAATGTATAACTAGTTAATTTAATGGGTTTAGTTAATATTAAGTATAATGAAAAGATTAAGTATACTAAAGTTTAAGTATATTGTTCATAATATCGTAATTTTAATATTTAAATTTATATAATTAATGTTACGCTCCTTAGGCAAAAAATTCGTTTTTTATTTTAATTTATGTACTTAGAATAGAAAAAATAACATACTAATTAACTTCACAGTATGTAGTAATTACTATCATCATGTAAAATTTTGACTTAAAACTTAAAAATTCCAAATTTGAAGAAAATAAGAACTTTTAAAATTCGAAATAATCGTATTTATAATATGCTTTTATGATAATTAATTGTTATGATCCAATCTCCAAATAATCGAGTCAAACATTGATAGTTTAGATAACACAATAAATCTCAATAAAAAAATCGTTAAAAATTTAAAATATGAAGTGAAACTAAAATTTTAAGTTATTATATCAACATAATTTTGATAATTAATTAGTTTTATGGTGAATAAAATTACGAATTGAAATTTAAAATTGATAAAAAAAATACAATTATTATTTAATTTATTCAATTATTTATACACTAAATATTACTTTTAAATATAAAACTATTCAAATAATATTAAATAATCCAATTAAGGAATGTTTGACTTGAATTGGGTTTGACAAAAACAAATAGAAAACCCAATCCAACTCAAAAGAGCTCCGAACCCATGGGATATTTCGAAGTCATCAAGGTGTCTTTTCATGTGTAAGAAATGAAAAGAAAGACTATCATCTTGTACATGGCAAGAAAGATCTCAGTTCCATTCATATAAAATCTTACATTAGACGTATTACAATTATATTTACCCAGCAACTGCAGTAGTAGGAGCTTCTTCTCCCCAGCCAATCTTAAACAAGAAGAAATTTTTCTTTTCAGGTTGCTGGAAAAGCGATCACAGATAGATCATGCAATTAAGAAAGCAAAAACCACACATTTCAGTGTATTTTCTCTATTCGTACATTTGCCGAATTGTAACATGACATGATGGAATTATCATACCAGCGAACATTAATCTCAAGTTACCCTATTTTAAACTCCCGCTGCTTGCACGCAAAAAAGGCTTCAAAATCCAGAGCAAGTGTGACCATGTTGTGTTTATTGCTAATTCTTAGGAAAGGTAAATTGATATAGAACTCTGCACAGGAAAATAAGATGGAACACTTTCTAGGGTCATCACTTCGATTATGTATTACAACATTTTCTCTTTAAAAAATATGGATTTAGTGCTGAGAAAATTACCATTCAGTCCTTTCCTTGTACTTTCTTTGGGCGTAGATTACGTAATTTTGAAATTGTTAGATCTGCACCTCCAAATCCATCCACTGTAGCGTTTGCCAATGGAAACTCGGCTCTAGATGTCAAACTGCAGGAAACAATAAAATATAAGGAACAGTTCCTGAATACACCAACTTAAAAACAATCACAATTCTATTGATAAAAAGGAACTTCCGATGAAAACATGCAATAGTGCAATTGTGTATAGTCATCCATTACATGTTTGTTGAACTTCCAAGAGCAAAGCAAGTCACCTGCTTCGTAAAACAACACAGGGCATTCCCACCTGTGTAGCTCCAGATACACCAGATTGGCTTCCAGCAACAAGGACACAGTCGCAGACGGGTAACCCTGCATACTCTGCTCCCGCACGTAGTGCAGCCACAATCTTAGCTAGACTGGACAGACAATCAACAAATTAATGAAAATTGACATATTATTTAACTATGCAATTAAAATCCAAATCAGTCATTAATTGGACAATTGATAGATTAAGGTTCCAAATAATAATTTGTGTTCATCAATCAAGTCACGTTCCACAGTTCCAGCAATGGTAAAAATATAAGAATCGCATTGAGTTCACAAAAAAAGATAACTCAATATACACACAAATATATCATACTTTAAGGCAGAACAATATATCTAACCAACATTCAAATTGTTGATTGCATAAAAAATCATATATGGAGGGGGAAATCAAACACAAAAAATCTGAAAGAACAATTTCTATACATTGCATCTACAGCATTCCTTCAGATTTTCAGTTTCAAGGAATTTAGGTAGAGCATTTCCCGCAGCTTAGTTTTACTCTTCTGCTTTAAAAGGAGAAACCATGCCAAATATAAGTAGAGGGAAGCTCTTTAAAATGAAAATCATTTTTAAATTAACAAAAGCCCAAAATCTAGAGTTTTTATGCAAGTTATGTCGGTATTTGGCCTGACCTTTTTCTTAGATTTTGAAAAGCTATTTTGAAGGAAAATTAAAAAATACGAGTATACATTTAAAGTTAAAGTTGTTTGGTAATATTAATATTATAAAATTATGTAATAATAAAATGCAACAACAAGTAAAATTGATTTGTCAGTTAATTTTTATATAACTTAACAATTTAAAAATTAAATAATGTATAGAAGTCCAAAAGGGAAACATATCAAAAAATGATTTTAAAATTATGTAATTTTAATAAAATCGTAATGTATATATATACATATATACATATAGACATATAGCATTAGTATAAGGGTAAAGGTTTAGGGTCTATCCAATACACCTAAAATAGGATAACATAAGGGCTTATTGTCATATTCTTCTCCTATCCTACAAACCTAAAATGGGATAATATAAGGGCTTATTGGCATAGTCTTCTCCTATCCTACTTTTATCCAACTTTTGTAGAAAAATTAGCCTAGATGTCTACAATTTAGATAAAAACATTATTTTGACTTCAATTTTTGCTAATAGAAAAAAGTTGTCTTTTGGTGGAAGATTTGTACAGGTGACTGGAAAGAGTTTAAATTCATTTGTAGTTTAGCATAACATAAACATGCACTTTTCCATTCTCTACAAGTCAAGGTTTTAGGAGACTAGGCACCTTATGAAATATTAAGATGGAAAAAAAAGCAGGGGAAGGCCAGGTTTTGAGCAAATCTCCTTCGTGTTAAGTAGTTCCCCCGACTTTTAACGATTACAAACAAAAAACACTACTTAACACCCAGTTCTCTTCTCCCGTCCCTTCTCAAACTCTTTTGCTTTCTTGCTTTACATACGTCAAGCGTTCTTTCCTTAATAACTAAAGCTGAATTATACACATTTTCATGTTTCTTTATCCTATGATTTGGATCCCTACAGCGTAAACAAAAAGTGATACAAAAGGACCAATATATTTTATTTATTTTTTATGATAATTACTGGAGACAAATGAACTAACCTTTCAGATGAGTTGGTATCAATCTCAACGCTCAATTTTAGCATAGACGCTACCTCCTTAGCTAGTCTTTGTCTTTCAGCAAAAACTAGCAAAAATGGCAGAAATGGAAAGCCCCTCAGCAAAGAACATTGTGCACTGAAAATGCTTGCAGGGGGGCACATAGATAATCAACGACTCAAGTATATACCAGCTCTCTTGGCTTCCTTGGCAATCTCTTCATCCAAATCAGAAGCAATTACCTTTCCCGAGACTAGTTGTCCATATAAACTTTGATCAACCTCCTCATTCCCTACAACGATGACCTTTATGCTTCGATCACCAAGCTTTTCCATAATGGACCTAAAAGTTCAATAAGCACAAGGCAAAAGGAAAATATTAGTACCCTCACATTATCCAGGAAGACCTAATAGTTCTGTTAATGTTAAAGCTCGAGTGTAAACCTGAAATGTAAATTAGTACCAAATAAACAAAATAAAAGCACACCCTACCCCACCCCTTACAGCCCTAAAGAAATTTTGTAAGCAAATCAGCAAGCTGAGCTTGTCAGTTATCAACATCTCAAAACCACAAAATCAAATTCCATCAATAATCATAACATTATCCTGCTTAGTAACTAAATAACATGCAAAATTCGGAGCTAAATAAAATTACCCAGCAATACTATCACCACTTTTACTGTAGGCCGTTAATATTACCACTGGAATTCCTTCATTATATGCATCATCAATAAACCTGTCAATGGAGACATTACTATATGTTAAGAAATATAAACAGATTAAAGTTCCATAATCATCCAACTTTCTAAATTTATGAAATATCCTGACAATTTTTAAACCTTTTAAGAGAATTAATAAGCAATCAAAGTAAAGCTCAATATTAAGAGGCAACGAGAACAAAGGAATTTTTTTTAATTTGGGACTTTTGTAAACTGAAATCCTTCCAAAAATGAATAGAAGACCAACTACTATCAAGAAAATAAAAAAAGGAGAGGACTGTAAACATGAAATGTACACATTTAGGGACTCGCACAAATAGCATTAAGTCATTGTGGCAGTAATCAATTTTATTGGAAATCAAATTAACTTCTAGGGGAAAACGTCTAGACCAAAATTATCCTTAGTTATTTTTGGGACTTGAACAAATCTTTCAATTAAATATTATATCCCTGTTAATGTTTAAATCATGCAGAAAAAAATCCTATCCACAAAAAAGAGAATAGTGAAAAATCAATAGTGTCAAATTACATGTAAAGTAAAAATCCACTTGAATAAGTGGCTCAGACCTACTCAGTGAAAGAATTACTAGGTATGATAACTTAATAGAAACAGTTTAAAGAGTCTGCTATCCTTAACTAATGTACATCTTGTTCTCTAAATACCAAGACTATAGCTCTCTTTTAAAGATAGCTTCCCATAAATAAAATACACAATGAGACAGAGAATCGTATTCAAAGAATGAGATAACTCACTGTTCAAGACCAGGTCGTAAAGGTAGACTCTTTGATATCACAAACTCTTCTAATGCCTTTTCCTGCCAATATATGATAAAGAGTTGAATAGGATTCTCTACAAATTCTCATAATCTTCTAAATGCGAGTAAACTGAAAAGTCACTCGGGCAAGGTTTTTTTTATCTTAGTAGGGTGTAGAATCAAGTTCATTAGAACTTAAAATTGGAATTCTTTTCCCATCTATACTTTTACATTTACATTTGGAGTAGAAGAACTGAGTACAAGTTATTCTAATATATCTAAAAACAAAGAAAAGCATATAATCCTTCAGGTCTGATAACTGCCATTTAAAGCATCCATGGACTCAAAACCACATCACTAGATAAAGCAATCTTATTCAGAGAACAATATATAGAATGTTTATCAATAATCTTTTGAACAAAGTTTTTTTTGGTCCCAAAATAAGCTACCAAAATTGGCTAGTAGACAGGAGCTTCAGCTTTCTGAATGCTGACATCAAACATGTCTTAGATAAAAGAGATTGAATAAGGAGCCAAAAGGAAAACTTACAAATTCTTACAGTTATTAAATTTAAGAGGCTTATAAGATTTGTCAAATTGTATGGGAAAATTACAAAAGCATACTTAGGGCTATAGGTACAAGAAAGAATTAATTACAATAAGATACTTACAAGAGTAAAACATTTCTTAGAGCCCTAAGATTCCAATGTTACTTGAAACGAGTTACTCATTGAATACAATGTAAATTTCAATACAAGTATATGGACCCACAAGAATTCCAAATTTAGACCTTCAATCTGCCATTCTCTCCTAAGAAATCTGGACTAATCAGGAAAATCGAGGTAGATGAATAATCAAAAGCCTCCTCACCCATGGAGCTGTTTACTTTTCAAATTAAGAAGTTAAACTGAAATGTGAAATGGAACAAGTGTAGTTTATGCCATTAATGTTGGCTCTAGTAGCCAAACTAATGGTCCCAACTCTTGAGCCAATCTCCCTTCTGGCCAAGACTGCTTTTGTTTGCTTCTTTCTTTCTTTGACCACTGTACCAGTTTGACATAAGAAAACACCTTTCTCCATGGAAAGCTTGCTTGAGTTGAGAAGAATATAGCAGAAGTCAGGATTAGGTTTCCGTTGGTGTTGCTTTTTTTTATTTCTAAGTCTTCCCGACATTAGCATCGCCATATGTTGCTTCTTTAGTAGATAAAAGCTTTAAACCATATCCACATATCTGATATTTACTAATCACTTAGCAGTTAATAATTGTTTATATTGTTAAACAATTAATAATATTATATATTTATTATCATATTGGTTGTGGCGGTAAATTTTCTATATTAATACCATGGTTAAGTTACTAGTCCAATAAATGCTTGAAATGGAAAGAGAAAAAGGCTTCTCGGTTCGGACATATTAAACCAAAGAGGAACAGATATTTCATTTCCATGAAATTAAGGAGACTTTCAGCATAATTCTATGTATTGATCAAGAACACAGTCCTAATTAACTAAACACATTTAATATACCTCAGTGCTCACAAACCAAAGTGAAAAGCACACTAATTACCAGTACCATTCATCAAGATCAAGTGTATGGACAAAACCTTTTGCTGCAAAACTCTTTTCGCAAACAGTCCCTGCTCATTGGTGGGTAACGAAGCAGGCCACCCAATCTGCTTATTACATACAACAACAGAATATGGTTTACCTAATGTCGGCAATTAAGAAAACTACTGATGTTACGAATAAACTTGCGTGTTTTTTCATTCCTAACGCAGACAAAAGACGAACAACTTACACGATTAAAATACAGAAACACCATCCTTTCTTCATCTCCAGCACTTCTCCTAGAAAGTCATTAGAAAACGGCCTATAAGCAATGGAGACATTCGCTGACATAACTTGCAGCACTCAATTGTGAAAACACTCCAATATTTACCGATAGAAAGAGTCTTTAAAAAAGAAATTCAAGCATCAATATACTCGACCCCAAACCAAAGTGTGGTAGAGTCAAATTTAATTCAACCAAACACTTACACACGCAAGCATAAACAACAGAAAATCTAATATAACAAATAAACAGAAGCAAACACACTTCGCAAGATCCGAATAGACAGGTTCAGTCCAGTTGGCGCAATCGAGTCCAAGCCTCTCGAACGCTGCGGGCACAGCAAGAAATGTTACACCGCATTACACAGAACCACAGCAACGTAAACGGCGGATGCAGAATCGGTCATACCTTTGTTGAAGGCAATGCGATTTCCGACGCGGTGCGAGTCCAAAAGAACCCTAAAACAACAGAATAAGAGTTTAAGAGTGTGAGAAGCAGAATACGATAAGTGAATCGTGGAGCGTAGCGAGACAAGGTTGATGGAGTGAGGAATGGAATCACCCGTCGACTTCGAGAAGGATGGCGAGGTCTTGAGATGTGCCGTGGTGGTGCTCGGTGGATGAGGCGGAGAAGACGGTGAGGCGCGAAGAAGATTTAGCGGGAAAATTGGAAGGGGAAAACGTGAGAGTGCAGAAAGTTGAGGGAAAGCGAAAACGAAAGCGGAAGCGGCATGGCGCGCGTGGCAGTGTGTGGGAATGAAGAATGGAAGATGCGAGTGTTCGTGGTACTGCCATGGCGATTTGGTACTTTTGCTATATTGGTCACTGGAGTGGACTGGTTTCTAATCCCAACTCAGCCAAGTATGTATGATATCTTCAACGAACAAATGTACGACACAGAAACATAGATTATTTTCCATTGTTATAATATATTTGAATGTTGTTCTTAGTAATTTTCTAAAGTGTTCCTGAACCTCTGTTTTTTTATTACTATTATTTTTTTTTTTTACGTTAATGTTGTCGTTAAAATTTGCATATATGCATGGGGATGCTTTATTATTATTTATTATTTTTATTTTATCAGGATGCCAATTTATTTTAATTTTTGTTATGCCCTTTTAGGATGTTTTATGGACCCAATGGACCTTATGTTTTCTGATAGAGCATAGAAGTCCACTAGTTAATGGACTTGCTTAGAAATGGTGAAACTGTTAAAAGCACAATTTTAATAGCTGTAGTGGATTCTCTTGCAAATATTTAGTGAAATGAAAACATAGAAATAGTAGAACAGGCAGAGAAAATGGAGAGATTAAAAATAGAAGTAAATAATTATTCAGATTTAATAAGAATGCCAAGCTTGCAATCAATTTGAAACCTCTAAAATATTTAACTGATCATTATATAAACATAAAATTTAAACCAATTGACTGAAACAAATCATGTAAAGGAGAATCTCACAATTCTAACATAATCAACCAAAAACCCATCAAAATCATTAAGTTTATTTTGGTGCTGCCAAGTCCATGTTGAAAGTAATGAAATCTCTTCAAAGTTGAATAGTCCTCACTGCCAAAAATGATGGAAAAGGGCGAGGGGATCATACTGGTTATTAAGAGGATTGGGCCAAAAGTGGAGCAGTTTTTCTTTGATAGTTTAGGTCATTCATTTTAATGGGCTTTTGTTTCAAACATTCAAGATAAAAGATGAGTTTTTAACTAAATTTAATCTGTATTGTCCTTTTGTGCTTCATACGATGTTTAACAATTAATGGCAACAGGAATAATTATCTTTGTAGTGGTCATGGAACTTCACAACATCATAATTATCTTTGGACAGATTATCTAAAGAGAATTGCTTAATTTTAGCAAAAGCACAGAAATTGAGTACTTCTGTAGCCATTTTTCTTAGAAAAAGTCTTTGCTAGTCCTCGAATAAAATTGTGTTGAAACTTTTCCGTACGATACATCTCTTATTCTTCTAAATACACATTTTATAAATGTAAAAACCAAAAGATATGATTGTAGTTATGCTTTGATCAATCAAACTAAAGTTTGTGTTTTTCTTTATTCGAAGTACTTGTAACACCTTAGTCAACAATCAAAATTGTAACAGAGAATTGATGCAATGGGAGAGTAAAGAAGATATAATAAAGGAGAGTAGAAAAGAGAGTTGCTGCCATTACACTTAACAATGTATCCTTTTTTTGTTACTTGATCTTTCATTCACCAGTCTTCACACTCTTTAAGTACTGAAGTTGCTGTGCAAATGATAAAACTATTTGCGCACTCATCAATAAAAGCTTGAATAAGAGGAAAAGGGAACCTTTGCCAGAGAAAGAAGCACTTATGAATGTTGTGTAATCAAAATGTGCTCCCATGATATTGTCCTGCATTATCCATTTTGCAACTTGGATCTCATGGGATCCTTGGGAGACAAGGTGGATAAAACCGATTGCATGGTTTGTCTTTGTTGGAAGATATGTTCAATCATATCTGCAACTTTTCTTCCCTGAGACAAAAAACATGATTTCCTTGTTAACCATGCTTTGTTTGCTCTGTCAAGGGCATGGCAAAAGGGCATGATAAGGACCCTCATGTTTTAGTCAAGATATAATTTCTCCCCCTTCAGCAAAAGGGGCTATAGCAATAGCACACTAGCTAGTTCAATACAAGAAAAAGACAGTCAAAATATCACATTGTATACTTTTGAGCACTTGAGAATTCCAATTTATCATTCCCCCCCTAAACTAAATTTCTGCAATGGAGAATATTTCCAAAACGATTTAATGCACTTAGCTTCAAAAAGATGCTAGAAGAAAGTAAGAGGGGCATCTCTTATTTTAGTTGTAGCTAGATTTTATGCTTTTTAAAGGGACCACTAAGTCAGTGATTTCCTAAAGTCAAATTCATGTTCCCATTATCAACATATCTGCAAGGAAATATAATAGTAAAGTGTGCTTAAAAATTATGATTAGGATGACTTAAAATACTCCAAATTACGCCTCAAGAAATTTGTAGATACTATATAAAAATGCTAAAGATTATATCAGTTGGTAATGTTAAAGTAGATTATTAAAAAACTCCCTAACGGCTTTTACATATAGTATAGAATCATGGAATCTGGAGACCCATATAAAAATTTCCATAAGCATCAAGATACTAACCTTATATTTGATTAAGAAAAGTAAAATAAAGTTATTGTCATTGTTATTGCTGCAATGATCCAAAAGAAAAATAAATAAATAAAATGTTTTGATCCCCTTATTACTAAAAACTCTGTCTCTACCACTGATTCTGAGCATTCTTATCTCAAAACTAGGATTTAGATCCTTTGCTTAAAATAAAGGTTTGATGGCTTTCAAAGCAGTCATAATGACAAGAAGAGAGGGAAAAAGAGGAAAAGAAAATGGTTTGGCGCCATTACGATTAATTTGGGTTATATGGAACAAATGTGACAACACTTGAAAGAAATCATGAATGGTGAAAAGGAACAAGACATAACATTTATGCAATTTCTCTCTTACTTACATGCTAGTATAATGAATGCATCCCTCATTTTCACAAATATGGAACTAAAGTGGGAGAAACCAAATCAAGCATTTGGTATAGTGGAAGGTAATCAAGGTATATAATATGATGGGGACAAAAGGTTCAAAAATCATCTAAACTGGGGCCCCTATCTTTGAATTTGGTATGTGCATGCTTCTCTGTTTTCAAACTTACACATTTTTTCAAGTTTCAAGTCAAAATAACCGAAAGAGAAAGCTGTTTTTTCTCCAACGGTCGAAGCACAATTCTCTTCATTTTGACCATCAAATAGGACACACACTTTCTAGTTTCTGAGCATAGAGGATCATGAAGAGTTGCTGCATGATGCATTTGATATTGTTCCCATTGTCCTGTACACAACAATGGGGTTTGTTTGTCCATAGTTTGATCCTTGAGAAAGGAAAATGTGACATCATTGCTTCACCTAACTCACCTGCCTATGAATTTCTTTTGCTCCCTCTAAAGCTCAAAGTCCTGCAATCATACCATTCTTCAAAAATTGATGGTAGGTTGCTTCAAAAAGTAGCCCAACCTCCTCCTTTGAACAAAAGCTTTCAACAAAAGCATTTCATCATTCTCTTGTTATTTTGCAATAAAATACTGCTCTTTGAATATTATTCATACAGGCACACTGATAACTTCAATTTCAACCTTCACATTTTTATTCAGGACTAGCATTACTACCTTCTCATATAACCTGGTCAACAAAAATAAATGTAGATTTCTGGATAAAATGCTAAAAGGACAACATGATATATAGGTTGAAAGGGCTTGTTGGTGATAGCTTTTGTGACAAACTGCATTCTCAAAGTAAAATTAAGAGGATGTTTTGTCTACTGTTTATCATTTCTTGATGTCACTAGAGACCATTTTATATGTTTTTTGCAAACATTATATATTATTTTGAATTGTTGTCTCCTTTTAGGGTTTATGTCCCTTTAAAACAGTGGAAACCTTGGTCAGTGACTAACTACTAGTAGACCCCAGAGTTGACTGAAAATAATTATTGGGGTTCATAAACTCAAAGATCTTGACAATGAGCATCTCATTATGAAAAAGTTTGTCACTCTCGTTATCATGTTTTTCCTCTATGTAGGTAGGTGTAGGAGTTTAAATGTTCTGCATTCAATATTTATGTGTATAAAATTCACCGTGGAGTTGATTCATGTCTTCAATTTACTTGCCCAGGTACTCTTCTTTCAAAGGGAACTCCTATAAAAGAAAAAAAAACAAAATATATATATATGGTTAAATAGGTAATTTAATCCTTTTATTTTTTTTAATATTTTAACGTGATCCTAAAATTTTTAATTTAGACATGAATATTAAAATTAATGCCAATTTTGGACTATCGTTATTTATGTTTTGACTCCATTATATTAGATGTCTAGTTGAAGTATCAGTTCTAATGTGGTTAGTTAATTGGTTATAGTTACGTGGCAGATTTGTCGGTCATATTAAAATTGCATGAAGAAAGGAATAAGGGTCGCGGATGTGTTTAGGGTATGAACAATTGAGAGTTTGTGCAAATAGGTTAAGGAAAACGTGAGGATCTTCAATGTTGTCGTGGAGGTATGAGTTCCATTTGTGACGAAAGAGGAGAAAGGTGGTTCCATATTGGGTTTGCCACTATGACAACGAGGGTGTGAGTTACTGCCGACGACGAGTTGGTTCCATTTTGTCCCTTTATGCGTTTTTCTATATTTATCTTTGATTTGTTGTAGTTGATATTTATGTTGTAGGTTGTGTAATTGATTTTGTCAGCCACCATTTCAAGCAAGACATCGTTTGGAAGCAAAAGTCATTTTCCAAGTTGTCATTGTGGTGAGCTCGTGGTGATTCAAACTGTTATGACCTCTAGAAATGCTGGGAAGAAATTTTGGGGTTGTCCTAATTTTAAGGTATGATGTCCTATTTTAACCCTCATTGTCATCACAAATGAAACTCTCACATCTTCTGTCATTGTAGATCCTCTCACTTTCCTTCACTCATTTGCACAAACTCTCAATTGTTCAAACCCTAAACACATCTGCGACCATATTCCTTTCTTCCTCTTGCAATTTTAATGTGACATGACAAATCTGTCACATAATTATAACCAATCATCTAAATACATCATAACTATACTCCAACTAGGCATCTAATATAAGGGAGTCAAAACATACATAATGGTAGTCCAAAATTGACATCAATTTTAATATTCATGTCTAAATTGAAAATTTTAAAAATTTTGGGATCACATTAAAA